CAGCTTAAACGTTTCTTGGGGTTTGCAAACTTCTATTGCCAGTTCATGCCTTCTTTTCCCAAAATAGCCCTCCCCATTACAAACTTGTTAAAAATGAAAGGGGAGAGTAAGCCTAAACCCAGCCAACCTTTAAAATGGTCTATGGCGTGTGCCAGGCTGCTTTTGAGAAATTATGACAGCTGTTCACTGCCAAAGTGGTGCTGAAGCACCCAGACCCAAATGCCTCTTGTCATTCAAGCAGATGCCAGCGATACAGCAGGGGGGGCTGTATTACCACAGGAAAATGAACAGGGGGCTTTACAACCCCATGTGTACACTTCAAGGAAACTCTCAGAAACAGAGTGGTGATGGGCAGTATGAGAAAAAGAAGTTTACATGGGACAATGGACACTCCTGACCTGGGTACATAAATTTTTCCTAGAAGGAAGCAAAATCCCCTTTGAAGTTTGGATGGACCATAAAAATTGGGACACCCCTACGAAATTGTCCCCCAAACAGGTCCACTGGGCACAGTTCTTTAACTGGTTCAACTTCATTTTATGCCGGGGTGTCAAACTCAATCCCATTGCGGGTCACATCAGGATTTTGTTTGCCCGCGGTGGGGGGCATGGCCTGGTCATCACAGCTAACTGAGTCGGTGTGACCAGGGTGGGCCAGGGCAGCACAGGTCGGTCCCTCACCAGGACAGCCCCACAGGACAACTCGGAGCCTATCGCGGGCTGGATCCAGCCCATGGGCTGCATGTTTGATATGTCTGCCTTATGCTATATCACGGGGGGGTCGTAATTTTTTAGCGGATGCTTTATCTTGAGTGCCACAATACAATAGTGTTAAGCTGCAGCTCATCCAGCCAGTTATCCCTTCAAAACAAATAGCAGCTCCAGTTATCATAAGAGCTCGAGCAAAGCAGCCAAAAACCACACCTAACAAAGTAATTGAAACACTGAAAATAGCCCTAAAAGATGACAACTAGTTTAAAAATCATAAAAATGAATATGTGAGGGCTTTGCATAGGTTGGAGGGAAACTACATTCCTAAGAGCTAATGAGCTTTAGTCCTGGAGAAAAGCCATGTTTCAAAAACAGCAGGGCATTTTGGGTTTCATACAGTTTCCCTCCAACCTATGCAAGGTTGCTACAAGGGAAGAATTCATTGCCATGCCAGAACTGCCCCAAAGCACGCCAGAGACTCTCATTGGCTGACTTGATCACCCAACTACAACACACCTGGCCCGTGATCCATAAAGCACTAGATGACTTCAATCTAGACAGAAGTCCAAAATACTGGGGCCCAAATATATTGGCCCATTTCCCATTTGTAAAATCATCAACCCTGTCACAGTACAGCTAAGACTTCCCAAAAATCTCAGACAAATCCATCCAGTATTTCATCGCAGGCTGTTGAAGCTGGAACTAACTCGTTCATTACGGCCGGAGCCAGGAACCCCCACCCTGATCGAAGGGGAACAGCATTTTGAAGTTAAAGACAGTTTTGACTCCTTGCAAGCACAGGGAAAAAATCCAATACCTCTTTGCCTGGAAACATTTCCCCCCTTCTGAAACCGATTGGGTGGATGCGCGGCATGTGCATGCACCTAAACTACTCCAGAGATTCCATAACCAATAAACCATGGAACACTAACTAATCTCTATCTCTTTCCAGGGCTAATGTCCCTGTGAAGGAGGGCAGCATATCAGGTTGCCCTCCCCATCACTTGTGCTGCAGCATGCCACAATCCTGAGAGAGAGGAGGATGGGGAGGAAAGGGGGTCTGTTGTAAAGTGGGAAAGGGTGGGGGAGACCAGCATGGATAGGAAGCAGAGTTGTGAACCAGTATCATCTGGTTCAATTTTAAGGACTTTGGAGTGCTCAGGACCTGGGAATGGATTGTTAAATGCTTCTCAAAACGTTCAGCTACCATCCTATTGGGCACAGATGAACTGGTCAAAAGGGGGAGGGCTAAGGGTTTGGAACAGTGTAGCAATTTGTGTGGGTTTTCTTCGGATCTGGCCTCACTTTCTGTCAGGTCCCATAGATTCCTATAGGGACATTTTTGTCATTCTGGTGGGGGGGAGGAAGCTTGGGTGGGGGTCTCTGTATGGGATTTGTTTCTTTTCCTTGCTGTAACTTTCGGGACCTTGGGAGGCGGGAAAGAAATGTGCCTTGAGCCAGCTGCCTTATCTCATCTCTGGAGAAGAGCAGCAGTGTTGCCTTGGAGACCGGCATTTATCACCTCAGCCTGAGTTTCCCAAAACACCTTCACACCTCGGGATTGGCTCAATGATGAATTGGACTTTGGGAGGGGATCTGTCTGCAATGGTTTAATCTAACATTTTGAATGGGAAAACTTTGTTTCTGCCAGTGGTGGGATTCAAATTTTACTACCGGTTCTGTGGGCGTGGCTTGGTGGGTGTGGCTTCATGGTCATGTGGGTGGGTGGCCATGGCTGGGTGGGCATGTGACGGCCATGGCCAGCTTGATGTCACTCGTGTCAAGAGGCGCCTTGCCTGGCCTCTCCTCACCTCAAAGGCCTCAATGACATACAATTCCCCTGTCTTATTTATTTACTGCTACTGAACATCCAAAATACACTATTTAATTCTATGTATATATGCCATATGTGTACATACATATTACATAGTATAGAGTGTGTCTAGGCACACAAAGAGATATATTATCTATTATATATACTGTATGTGTATGTACACACACACAAACATTCAACCTCACTTACTGAATTTGGAAAAACATCCCCAAAGTCCACTTTCTGCCACACATTTAACTATAATTTCTGTACATTAGAACATTACACACGCCTTCAGATGTTCTTCCAAAGCCTGCACATGACTGTTAGAGCCAGGAGATGTCATGGATTGAGTAAAATGTGGTGAAACTCACTTAACAATGCTCTTACTTAGCAACCAAAATTTTGGGCTCAATTGTGGTCATAAGTCAAGGACCGTCCTCTGCATGGCAGCCTTGTCCTAGTAAACTCCTTCTCCTTTCTGGCAATTTTCCTCTCTGTTAGAGGCACCAAAATAATCCAGACGATAAAAGGTTTCCTGCTGGAGCAGAGGGTTGGACTAGATGGCCTCCAAGGTCCCCTTCTAACCCTGCTATTCTTTGATTCTGTAAGGAACTCCTGCTGGAGCAGGGGGTTAGACTAGATAACCTCCGAGATCCCTTCCAGCCCTAGATTGCTGTGTTGTTTCAAAGCTTTTTCTAAAGCCACATCTAATGCCAGGGTTTGTGGTCCTTCCTTCCTCTCCTTTTTTTCTCTCTGTCTCCCTCCCTCCCTCCCTCCCTTCATGTATCTATTTATCCATCCATCTATCCATCCCTCCATGCAAGTATGTCATTCACTTTCCCCTCCCCCCTCCCTATCTTTCTCTTTCTTTTTCTTTATTTTTGTCTCTTTCTCTTTCTTTCTTTTCTATTACTTCTCTTTCTTTCTTTGCTTTCTCTCTCTCTCTCTCTCTCTCTCTCTCTTTCCCTGCCTTCCCTTTCTCCTTCCCTCTCTCCTTCTAAGGCTAGGATACCCACCCAAAACAAAAACTCCTTTGGATGAAGCCATTGCCATCCGGCTTATTCAACCCAATACACACGTGCGCACACACATGCACTCAAACAAACTTCTGTGATGGTAAGCTGCAAAGTGCAAACTAACAAAAACTTTTCTTTTTTTTTTTGCAATGCTTGTTTTTCTCAGCCCCAGCCCCCAAGGGTTTCCCAATGTTTTCCTCTCCTTCCTCACAGCCCAGGGCTGCAAAGGGGGAAACCTTAGGTGCTATCAAAGAGGATCCTGGGTGCTGCACTCTAGGGAAATGAGAAAGGGAGCTGCTGGCAGGAGGGAAAGGCAGGCAAAGAGAAAAGGGGGCTTCCTTCCCTCATGCTGGCTGCTCTGTTTCTCCTCCCCATTAAAGAGGATCCTGGGCGCTGCGCTCAATGGGGAAATGAGAAAGTCACTCACTCACCCAGGCAGATCAGGGCAGCTCAGCTGGGCCACTCGGATACAGCCGAAGGCAGGCAAACTGGCTGGCCCTCAGAGACCTTGTGGTCGAGGCAAGTGAGGAAGCCAGACGGAGAGCAGCAGAAGCTATGGCGGGCAAGCAGAGTAGATAAGAAGTGACTGGGCAAGGTGGGCAGGGCCAGCCAGAATTTTTACTACCGGTTTGCCTGAACCGCCCAGAAACAGTTGAATCCCACCACTGATTTCTGCCTACATCTCTTGCTATCATAATCTTCCAATAAAAGTTGCTTTTGAGATGGTTTTTGTTTCAAGAGTTCTGCTTTCTTGAGAAGATTGGCGAGGCAGGACCTTACAATTTCACTGCCTCCAGTTGTCTGTAGTAAAAGAACCTTGTAATCTGATGGAATCAAGCATCTTTCTTTCCTAGAGAGCCAGCTATGGCAGGGCTGACAGTGATTCTTGACATTTTCCTACTAATCATTTCTCAAGATTACCATAAAACTCAATGTATCTCATTATTAGCAGTTACATAAAAGTAGAGAAATCTATAGTTACCATAATTATTAGTTATTATTATTAGTTCAATTTATATGCTGCCTTTCTCTGGAGACTCAGGGCGGCTAATAAACTTAAAGCTATCTCATGAATCATTTCACATTAATAGAGTTTGATATCCGTATCTTGAAACAAAAAGAGTTGTCTTCAGAAATGCCTGTCCTGAAAGGTTACATATATGTTCCATTCATTATTGTTTATTAAATATGTTCTTTTTTAAAAAAAAGATACATATAACAATGGTAGACAATATCTGCTTCATTACATAGCTTTTCTGCTAAGCAGATATGTACTGTAAATGTAATTTTCTCCTGAGCTTTGTGTTAGATGTCTATAGCATTGGTACCGATATGCATTCTATAAAATGTACAGTATATGAAAGAAATAGTATCAATTCAAGAAACAAGAATTAAACCACTAATTTTCATTATCATTTCAAAAAAGAAGTCTTGAAATAATTAGAAATGTCTCAGATCTATTCTTCCATGCAGTGATTTATTTCAGTTCATGATTATATAACTTCTTCTTGTGTCTCGTTGCATTGTGACAAGCAATAAGATGCACATGATGTAAATATACTATTATAAAAAGGTTTGCTGTCAACACAGATTGCATTCTTTTTCTGTTCTAATATAATTGATCAAATACTTGATGATGCTGATTGTTCCTTTTCTTATAAACAAGTTTCCTTTGTGCCCACAAACAGCTGTGTTTATCCTCTATGAATTTATACCTTTATTATGTTGTCATCACATTGTGAAACAGCACTGCACAAATCCTAAGAATTCTTCTTAACATCTGGCAAAAAGAAAACATATTTTTAGGAACAAAATTATAATCCTAATATATTCTGAAACTGTCAAAGGAGTTTTATTAGATTTGCTTTTTTAGGATTTCATCTATTCTTTTTAAACTTCACTAAAATACTAGAAAAAAGGTCTATTACCTAGATAAAATTAAAACAAGTCATTGTATCTGCAAGATTCAAGCCATATTTATAAGTACATCACTATTCTTAATTAAAAAAGGTATGAGAAACAAGCATAGAAGGATGTCTAGGATTGATTGATTGATTTGCCATCCATCTTCCCAATAAGACATCATAATATAAAGCTGCTCATAATTTTAATTATTAAAAGGTGAAATGAATTAAAAAGGAAACGAGCTATTTACAAATTTCAGTTAAAAATGTACAGGTGATATACACAACATTCTGTTCATGTCTTAAACTATTAGGAATTCTCACTGTTATATCGAATTTGTATCTGCATACTTTAAGCATACTTTTTTAAACTGCACTTTTGTCACCCCTTTTCAGAACTTCTACAAATGTCACATTTCAGTTGGAAAATAGGCTGCTTTGAGCATTTCAGGACTGCTTGGCACTCAGAATATTTCCAAAATGCTCAAACCAACAGAATTCATGCATGAAAACAGGGTTTGAAATTCAGAAGAGTTCTTGTTAAAAATATTTTGGACATCTTTAGCTGCAACTATGAACCAGATTAGAAATCAAATTAATAACTAATAATCATGCTAGTTTTTTTACTACCCTGTAATCCCTTAATTCGGGATAAAGTCAGGGTGACTGAATAGAGCTGAGCCAGATGCCCTTCCTGATGCAGCAGATATTTTCTCTTTGCATCCTGAGAAAGAAACATCTGTGGCTGTTTAGGATTGAACTCTCAACCTTATGAGTGGGAAGCAAGCATTTTCATCACTAGGCCACCATGTCAGTCAATAATCTTGCTAGTAATTGATCGAATTTTATTTTGAAAAACAAATTGCAGAACCTTTCAATACTATTTTTGGCTTCATAAATAATCATCTTCACAGCTCTGTGAAAAACAGCTATTCCAATTCCATTTCCCCCCTCCCAACATATATTATACACAAAGGAATTTGAAACCCTTGTTAAGTATTGTCATGCATTATGAAAACACAGATCTCAGGAATCCAGACATTGCACTAGGGGAGCGAGCTAGTGATTTATACATTAATAATGCCTATTTTGAAGGAATGATAACCAGTATCAATTCAGAAGATTGCTTTTACATCCCTTCACTGGACTTAAATTCTACACATTTGGTTGCCAAAATAGATCTTGTTTTATACTTGTTAGATCGGCGCAGGGAAAGGAAGACGCGACCAGTGTTGGTCCATTCAGTACCTTTATTTCAGCTCTGAATGAAGGCGGACGGCTGTGCTGCCGGAGCTCTTTTATACGCTTCGGCAGACTCAGCCGTCCAATGACAGCTGTTTGAATTTCCCGCTGGTGGATTAGCCAATCCCCGGCGGATGTCCTTATAAGGACATAACACCCCTCTCCTCCTAGTTCAAAGTCTATCTATCAACACTAATGAATGTCACGTAGTCACGCAGGTAGGCGGGCCGCTTGATGGTCCTGGCTGACCTGCGCAGTTCCATTTGGGTTTCGCCACTGGCTGAGGCAGGCGGAGCTCCTGTCCCCTCCGGCTCTCGACCCGGAAGGGTCTGGGGTCCGGCCGTCAAGTGTGCGGGCCCTGTCCCAGCACCTCCGGCCGCATCGTCTGGATTTACCCGCTGGTGGCACTGGTCCTTCCCCTGACCGGGATCCCTGGAACCTCGCGGCTGGGCATCGCTGTTGACCCGGGGGTGACAACTGATGTCCGGTAAGTCCATTTTATTCTCCTTTGCCCCTTGCGGCTTCTGTTGGTGGGTCTGTTGTCTCAGTTGCTGCTGCTGCTGTTATTGTTGTTGTTGTTGTTGTTGCGTGTCGGCTTGTTGTGGTGGGTGGCCGACCCCGCCGGGGGGGGTCGCCCGTCTACTGTGTTGGGCTGGTGCAGGTCGACCTCGCCGGGGTGGTGTTGGTCGACCCTGCCGGCGTGGTGATGGTGGTCTCCCTCACGGGGAAGTCGTTGGCTGGCTCTGCAGGGCCTCCATCCCTGGGTTGTCCCCGGTCTACTACCTTGCATTGGTGGTGGTCTCCCTCACTGGGGTGTGGCAGGTCGCCCTCGCCGGGGAGTTGCGGGTCTCCCTCTGTGCATTGTCCGTGGTCTACTTCGTCGTGGGGATGGAGGTCTCCCTCGCTGGGGTAGCGAATGGCCCCTCCGTCAGCATGGTGCTGACTCCCCTCAGACTGTGGGTACCAGTCTACTCCCTTGGATCGGCGATGGCTTGACTTGCTGAGGTGGTGTGGGTCTACCTCGCCGGAGTGTTGCCGTCCCTCCTCGCTGGGGTGCGGCAGGCCTACCTCGTAGGGGTGTTGTAGGCCTGCCTCCTCGGGGTGTGGTAGGCCTACCTCGTCGGGGTGTTGTAGGCCTACTTCGTCAGGCTGGTTTCCTTCCGCCTCCCTCCACCTTTTCCGGAGCTGGTCGATGTGATGTTTACAGACCTGTCCATCTTCCAGCTCCACTCTATAAGACTTCGGGCCAGTTGTGCTCTCAATTCTTCCTTTCAGCCATTTCGGAAACCCGTGGAAATTGAGCGCGAAGACAGGGCAAGGGCGGGGGAGGAGCGGCTGGCATCTGATGGCACCTCCGGGTTGTACAGGGGGTGTAGCCGGTCCAGATGTGACCTCAGTCTTCTGCCCATCAGCAGTTCGGCCGGGCTCTTGTGCGTCGTTGAGTGTGGCGTGATATGTTGAGTGAGGAGGAATTGGTCGATCCTCTCTTGCCAGTCGCCAGTGCCCATCTTGGTGAGAGCTTCTTTGGTGAGCCTCACCATCCTTTCAGCTTGCCCATTCCCGGCCGGTCTGTAGGGGGCAATCAGGGCATGGCGGATACCCAGCCCTGCCAGGAATGTTTCCATGGGCTTGGATGTGAGCTGCAGCCCATTATCGGAAACGAGGACATCCGGTAGCCCGTGCTTGTCGAATAGTCTCCGGAGCGCCTTGGTGGTGGCTTCTGTTGTTGTGGATGCCGTGGGCACGACCTCCAGCCACTTCGAGAATGCATCCACGACGATGAGGAGGTATCTTCCGCTCATCGGACCCGCAAAGTCTATGTGGATTCTCGACCATGGACTGCTGGGAGCCTCCCACTCTGTAGACTGGGCACGGGGTGGCGCTGGGCATACTTCCTGGCACGGGTCACATCTGGCAACCCAGGTCTCTATATCCTTGTCCAGGGTTGGCCACCACATGTAGCTTCGTGCCAGCCCCTTCATGCGAACGATGCCTGGGTGCCCCCTATACAGAGTCTCTAGCGTCTTATGTTGGAGTGATCTGGGAATCACGACTCTGTCGCCCCACAGGAGGCAGCCTTTCATAGTGGCTAGTTCTTGCTGCTTTCTGGCAAATGGGACGAATTCTTCTGCCATCTTTATTTATTTTATTTTAATTTTATTTTATTTTGAATTTGTATACCGCCCTTCTCCCTGAGGACTCAGGGCGGTGAACAGCCAAGTAAAAACATCAAGTACAAATATTAAAATACAGTTAAAATATATATATATAAATTTGGCCCCATTAATTAAAAACAATAAACAAAACACTTAAAAACACTTAAAAAATTAGGCCAGCCCGGCTTGCTGGAAAAGGAAGGTTTTAAGGGCACGGCGGAAGGCACTGAGGTCTTGGATTCTCCTTATCTCTGGAGGCAATTGATTCCAGAGGGTAGGTGCCCCCACAGAGAAGGCCCTCCCCCTGGGGGTCACCAGCCTGCACTGTTTGGCTGATGGCACCCCGAGGAGGCCCTCTCTGTGGGAGCGCACGGGTCGATGGGAGGTCGTCGGTGGCAGCAGGCGGTCTCGAAGATAGCTAGGCCCTATGCCATGGAGCGCTTTAAAGGTAATAACCAACACCTTGAAGCGCACCCGGAAGACCACCGGGAGCCAGTGCAGCTCGCGCAGGAGCGGTGTTACATGGGAGCGCCATGCTGCTCCCTTCACTACCCGCGCTGCTGCGTTCTGGACCAGTTGGAGCCTCCGGGTGCTCCTCAAGGGGAGCCCCATGTAGAGAGTGTTGCAGTAGTCAAGGCGAGAGGTGACAAGGGCATGGGTGACTGTGCACAGGGAATCCTGATCAAGAAAGGGCCGCAACTGTCGGATCAGGCGAACCTGACAAAAGGTCCCCCTGGTTACAGCCGTCAGATGTTCCTCCAAGGACAGCTGCCTATCCAGGAGGACTCCCAGATTGCGAGCCCTCTCTGTGGGGGCCAACGACTCACCCCCAATAGTCAGTGATGGAGTCAACTGACTATATCGGGATGCCGGGAGCCACAGCCACTCAGTCTTGGAAGGGTTGAGCCTGAGCCTGTTCCTCCCCATCCAGATCCGCACAGCCTCCAGGCACTGGGACATCACTTCAAGGGCATCGTTGGGGTGGCCTGGGGTGGAGATGTACAGCTGGGTGTCATCAGCGTATTGGTGGTATCTCACCCCAAAGCCACGGATGATCTCGCCCAGCGGCTTCACATAAATGTTGAACAGGAGGGGCGAGAGGACCGACCCCTGAGGCACTCCACATATAAGAGGCCTTGAGGTCGACCTCTGCCCCCCTGCCAACACGAACTGCGACTGGTCGGAGAGAAAGAAGGAGAACCATCATAATACGGTGCCCCCCATCCCCAACTCTTCCAACCGGTGCAGCATGATACCATGGTCGATGGTATCAAAAGCCGCTGAGAGGTCTAACAGGACCAGAACAGAGGAACAACCCCTGTCTCGAGCCCTCCAGAGATCATCAACCAACGCGACCAATGCCGTTTCCATGCTGTGTCCAGGCCTGAAACCCGACTGGAACGGATCTAAATAGGATGTTTCAGCCAAGAATTGTGGAAACTGTCGCGCGACCACACTCTCAACCACCTTCGCCAGGA